TCCTGATTGGCTGGTGGGTGTCACGGAGGTACAGGTCAGTTTGCATATTTCTCTTTTATTAGTGTAGATAACTGCATGCCAGAATGCTGAACCAGATGGCCTCTCTCAAAGTCAGCCCTCGCTGTGGCTAACTTTTGTTAAGGGACCTGCGACTGTGTGTCCCAGTGGTTATGGATATGGGTATTGGGATCCGAGGGGGCTGTGTGTGAATCCTTTGGAGCTCAGATTGCTGTAGACTGGCACCGTCTCACTGGATAGAGCTGCATGTGGAAGGGGTGGGGAGACAGTAATAGCAAATGTGCTTCTTTCTTTTTAAAAATTTTTATTTTTATTTTTATTGGTATCAGAGAGGAAGGGAGAGGGGGGGGAGAGAGATAGAAACATCAATGATGAAAAAGAACACACCCCCTACTGGGGATCGAGCCCACAACCTGGGCATGTTCCCTGACTGGGAGTCAAAAGCGTGACCTCCTGGTTCCTAGGTCGATGCTCTATCACTGAGCCACACTGGCCCAGCCTTAGTTTTCTTAAGTAGAGAGTGAAGCAGGTTTCGTTCCACACAAACCCAGGGTAGGAGGCCTAGAAGCTGTTGTAAACTGTTGATTTTTTAAGGGATTTTGTGTGTGTGTGTGTGTGTGTGTGTGTGTGTTTAAGTTGTCCTAGTTTTTCTTCCCCTGGAAAGCAGAAATGGTGAACAAGTTACATTTCCGTCTCACAATGCAAGGACAGGTAGCAAATGAACTGATTAGAGAACACAGCCTGGCTTTGGTTAAGCAGGAGTCGTGTTCATGTATTTCTGGTTGTGCTGAGGCTAAAGGCTGAGCTGGGGAAGGTTTGCCTGTTAGTTTGTTTTTTGTTTAGTTTTTTTTTTAAAAAAAATTATTGTCTAAAGTTTTGCATGTTTGCCTCTTTGTTTTTGAGCTGCAGTTTCTTGCGAGTAGGAATAGAAATGTTAGATAAGGGTTTGCTCTCACTCAGTGGCTTGCCAGTCGGGCCTTACATTTTGTGTGAAGGAGAAGGAGGCATATGGCTGCTTGAGTGTGGCTTCACTTAGTTTTATGATGTTTGGAAACCAGACAAGTTGAGCCATTTTCCCGCTGGTTTGGCATGGCTTGCAGCATTGGACACACTCCTTTTTTCCTGTTAGCAGGACTTTCTGCTTAACCGCAGCTTCCTTTCCCCGGGGGTTTGTATCTTTAGGGACGAAACCCCTCAGGACGATGAACCTGAGGAATGGAACTCAATTAGCTGTATCCTAGAGGCCTCGTGCACAAAATTTGTGCACATGTGAGTGTGTGTGAGTGTGTGTGTGTGTGTGTGTGTGTGTGTGTGTGAGCCCAGCCTGTACCCTCTCCAACCGCTGGCTCCCAACCAATCGCCTGCCTGCCTGCCTTATTGCTCCTAACTGCTTCTGCCTGCCAGTCTGACCACCCCCTAACCACTCCCCTGCCAGCCGGATTGATACCTAACTGCTCCCCTGCCAGCCCAATTGCCCCTAACTGCCCTCCCCTGCCGACCTAGTTGCCCCTAACTCCTCCTCTGCAGGCCTGGTTGCCTCCAACTGCCCTCCCCTGCTGGACATCTTGTGTCCACATGGGGGTGGCCATCTTGTGTGTTGGAGAGATGGTCAGTTTGCATACCGCCTTTTTATTGTATAGAATGATTTAAATAGAGCAGCAGGCTTCCCGTTTGGAGAGGATGCTGCCTTGCTCTGTTTTTTCCTCACGTTGATCTGATGAGAGTGAACCATTCTTCTGGTCAACGTCTCACCTCTGTCCCAGGTGCCATCAGTCGTCATTTTTTAAATGAATGGTTTTGTTACCTGGCATTTTGAAAGACGTTAGGAAAACTTGACTGTCTTTTTCTTTCCCAGATCTTTTCCTTGCTACTTAAATTTGACTTGGTTTCAAGATGTTGAACAATTTTCTTTATATGAAACGTATGCTCATTAGGAGTAAAAGCTGTATAGTTTTTTAAAGTTCTGTTTCCCGGACACACATCATGCACGTGTGTTCTTATCCGGTCTGTGCTTGTGTAGGCCTGTGCTGGCTCCTGAGGCCTGGGAAGCGGACTGGCCGTGGCTTAGCCCTCGGCTCGGTCCTGCTACCCAGCAGCTGCCTCCTGTTCTCGGTCAGAGGCAGGACAAACACTGTGAGGTGCTGACATCCCGGACCACCAGCTTCCGGTGCCCCTTGGGGATGAAATGATCCAACGTGTTGTAAACTGGTTGATGCTGGTCACCTGTTGGATGGCTTTTTCCTTCATCGTTTCATTTGAACATGAGATCTTGGTTTCGGTGGAATTGCTAAGGTTAGTTTGGCTTTTCATGGCCATTTCCACACAGTTCTGGTTGGCCCTTCTTCCTGTCTTTGTTTTTCACTGCCTCTTATTTTTTTTATGCTCCTAAAGCCACTCAGGAGCAAAACTCTAATCAAAACACGTAGTGCGTGTCATCCAGGGTAACACTTTCAAGCCCAAGCAGGTCGGGTCTAATGATAGATTGCTTTCCGAGAGGAAGTAGACGGGCTCTTACAGATAATTGAAGTGGAGCATCTGTGACCTGGATTCGCATCTCTCTCCTGCGCTGGAGGTGGAAGGGAAAGTGTTACTGGCTCTGTTTCTGTGCTCACTTTATTGGCTCTCTGCCCATTTGCACTTTGAGCAAGATCGCATTCACATAAAACACGGGAGAGGAGGCCGTAGGCAGTGCAGGCAGCTCGCCTGCCTGGCCGCTCCTGAGGAGGTAGAACGGGGCCCAGATACGTAGTTGGCGTTTCCAGTTTTTTCATCAGCATTCATTTCTTCTTGAGGATGTCGGGACCGTTGAGAGGCAGCTTATCTTAAAACCAAAAGGGTCTCTAACAAACTGAACCCTCCCCTTTCTTGGTTTGTCCACGTAAGGAGCCCCTTCCCTTGTCTGAGTGGAGCTTGTGATTTGGGGGCCTTGTGGGAGGAGCATTTAGAGTAGAAGGGGCTTCGGAGAGCATCTAAGGTATTGACCATTTTATTTTATCTTATTTTATTTTTGAAAATATATTTTATTGATTTTTTTACAGAGAGGAAGGGAGAGGGATAAAGAGTTAGAAACATCGATGAGAGAGAAACATCGATCACCTGCCTCCTGCACATCCCCCACTGGGGATGTGTCCACAACCAAGGTACATGCCCTTGACCAGAATCGAATCTGGGACCTTTCAGTCCACAGGCTGATGCTCTATCCACTGAGCCAAACCGGTTTTGGCATGACCATTTTATTTTTTTAATGTATTTTTTTTTTTTTATTGATTTCAGAGAGGAAGGGAGAGGGAGAGAGAGAGATAGAAATATCAGTGATGAGAGAGAATTATTGATTGGCTGCCTCCTGGTTGCGCCCTACTGGGGATCAAGCTCACGAGTGCCCTGACCAGGAATTGAACCGTGACCTCCTGGTTCATAGGTTGATGCTCAACCACTGAGCCGGGCTGGCTGGCTATATCGACTATTTTGGATAAGGAAACTGAAACCCAGTGAGCTGCCCAGGTTATGGGCCAGCACAGTCCGCACCAGGAGGGAAGAGGCAGCATCTCAGGAGGCAGGGCTCTTTTGTAATCTTTGTCTATTTACCAGTTTCTCCCCAAAAAGAAACCAGGGGCTTTTTTTAAGGCACATACCCCAAAGACGTACACTGACCAGGTTTGAAAATGCACACTATGATTTTGTCTGCTTTACAATCCTGGTAGGTAGATTTGTGAGTCAGAGGGAGTGTGAAAGTTCAAGTAATTAACTGTAGAGAGGAAGGATCAAAACAGATATTGATTCTAGATAATCCTGTCCCATGCAGCCCAACCAACACTTTGAGAATTTGCAAGCTCCATATCCATCCTGGGTATCACGGTGATTTAGGAGATATTATGATTAGGGAGTGGATCTCCGTCTCTGTGGCGTTTTTTGGTTTGAGGGAGTTCACATAGAATGAGTGAAAGTACATTTTATATGGATTTGTGCACATTGAAAGTAAATTAATTAGAAGGTGGCCAGTGGGGCAGGACTGGGCGAGATGGGCCAGACACGCCCTGGAGCCCATCTCCCACAGTCCCTCCCTGGCTGGCTGAATTTGGGGCGGCATCGGGGCTCAAAAGATGTCTGCAGAGTGAGTGGGGTTCCTCTGGCAGGTGGGGTCCTTTAGCCTGGCCTGTGGGGATCGGGCCAAAGTTGGCAGTCTGACATCCCCCAAAAGGTCCCAGAGTGCAAAAAGGCACTCTGCTAAGTTGCTGACACTCAGCAGCTCCTGCGTTGAGTGTCTGCCCCCTGGTGGTCAGTGTGTGTCATAGCTACCAGCCAGTAACTTAGGCTTTTATATATATAGACTAGTAGCCCATAGTGCGATATTGCGCACAGTAGGCTGCCTGCCACTTCTGCAGGAGCCGCTCATGCTGCCCGCTCTCAGAGGCCACCCTCCCCCCCCCCCCCCCCAGGACTGGGGGACTCCAGTGAGGCTGAGAGGACTGGGTGCTGCAATCTTGTGGCTATGGGGCACTGCCATCTTTGTGATGGAGTGATGGTTAATTTGCATATTACTCTTCTATTAGATAGGATGATTGCATACTTGTAATAGGATGGCTTTTTGAAATTTATAAGTATATTTTAGAGTAGAAAATAATTTATAGATAAAGGAATTCATTATATTTCTGTTCGGTCATGCAGTCTTATTCTATTTCATGGATATCACTACTTTAATTTTTTTCATTTTTATTTTTAAAAAGCAGTGTTTTGGTAAGTTTTTGGAAATTTAGAAATAGTCATTTTATATTTCTGTTTTCCCTTTGGACATGTTAATTAAGGCAGTTTGGGTTTATTGGGCAGTTTCCCAATTCTGAATATTTTATTAAATTTAAAAAGAAAGCTTACTGAGTCATGATATTCTCTCTCTCTCTCTTTCTCTCTCTCTCTCTCTCTCTCTCTCTCTCTCTCTCTCTCTCTCTCTTTCTCTCTTTCTCTCTTTCTCTCTTTCTCTCTCATAGCCAACACATATCTCTTCATGGTACAAGCTCGAGGAATGATGTTGAGAGAAAATGTGAAGACAATAGGCCATATGATCAGGCTTTACACGAACAAGAACACGACCACACTCAACGGCACAGGTAAGGCTGCCTCCTGGTCAGCTGGCTCCGCTTCTGCCTCGGGGCCTCTGGTCACACCGCAGTGACCCGTCTCCGGGCTCTGCCTTTGCTGCAGGTAACCCCTGTTAGAGAGGAGGGTGTCTCCCCTAAACCCCTTCCACTGCTCGGGCCAGAACTGGGGTGCGTTCTGTTCTGGGATCTTAAAGGTCCAGGCCTAATGAAAGTGATGAGGGTTTTGTGCAAAGAGACTCACGTGCGTTCTTGCTTACGAATTCAACAGAATAGAACAGCGACTGTTGCTTTTCCAATTCTCTTGTATTTAAGATAAATTAACTTCAAAAAGAAAATTTTATTCATAGTAGCTGTTCTGCCCTCCCCCCCCTTCTAATGTTTATTCTAATTCCTAAAACGTTTTTCCAGCTGTGTCTAGAAAATATTGGTTTTCATCATCGAAGGTTCTTAATCATTTAAAGGACTTTTTAGGGAGAATTTACAAAATTAGAAATTAGTAGCTGCTCTTGTCTTTTTTAAAAAAAAATATATATATTTTATTGATTTTTTACAGAGAGGAAGAGAGAGGGATAGAGAGTTAGAAACATCGATGAGAGAGAAACATTGATCAGTTGCCTTCTGTGCACCCCCTTATGGGGATGTGCCTGCAACCAAGGTCCATGCCCTAGACTGGAATCCAACCTGGGACCTTTTGTCCACAGGCCAACTCTCTATCCACTGAGCCAAACTGGTTAGGGCTGCTTCATTGGTCTTTTAAAAATATTTTCTGGACGAATGTTCATTAGAACTACCTAAGACTAACATGTAAGCAGCAGGCTGAATGAATGAGGTAAGGCGGTGTGAAGGGGTGCAGGTAAGGCGGTGTGAAGGGGTGCAGGTGTTGTGCTCCTTTAGGCCTGCTCCCCATAGTCTCCTGAGAATGCTGGGGCGCCTCTCTGACTGGTTTGATGGCTGGCTGTCAGCTGTTGTAGCCTCCGTATTCTCCCTTTAAAGTTAAAGATTTAACTGGTGTCAGCAGTTCTTCACTGTGCCCTGTGAACAGCATACACACACATCCTACACGATAGGACAGTCTTACCTCCCAGCGTCAGGTGCTTTTTCTTAAAATGCATGCTAAGATAGGTAATACTTTCAGACCCTTCTAAACATTCAAGATTGTCTGGAGGTACAGTCAATTTCTGTATTTCTCTTTTATTAGTGTAGATTCCTTTTAAGTGCTTCTGTAGATTGTGTATTACAGATATTCCCTCAGTGTCGTTGACGTATTTCAAATTAGAAGCCAGGCCAAGGCAGTTTTCGGTTGTAACTTTTTTCTCTCTCTCTCCAAGATTATCCTGAAGGCAGTAATTCAAGTGATTACCTTGTTCAGACAACAACGTACCTTCCAGAAAACTTCACATACTCTCCATACCTCCCCTGCCCAGAAAAATTGCCTTACATGCGTAAGTGTCACTAATTTGACCTAACCGTTTGCTTGTGTTATGATACAATAATAAAGGCCACGTGATGTGAGCATGCCAGGCACACATCGTTACTCTGGTGCTGATGCTCATACTGTGCAGCTTGCTGTTCTGTTTATTTATGTATTTATTTATTTTTGGTTAAGGATTTTTTTGGAGAGGGACGGGAATTGAAAAGCTAAAGAAAAAGCTTATCCCTTACCCAGAAGTGACCTCTATTGTGAGTTTGGTGTGTTTTCTTACAGTTTATTTTAATGTTACTTAAAAAAATTTCTCACCCAAGGATATGTTTATTGATTTTAGAGAGAGAAGGGAAGTGAGGGGGAGAGAGAGAGAAATGTCAGTGTAAGAGAGTAACATCGACTAGTTGCCTCAAGTGTATGCCCGGACCTGCTGGGTGTCGGATCAGGGATTGAACCTGCAACCTCAGTAGGTGCCCTGACTGGGAATCGAACCTGCAACTTTTCAGTTTACAGGATGACACTCCAACCAACTGAGCCACACCTGCCAGAGTGAACATTACTTTCTATACAGATAGATGGCTGGATAGAAAACGAAAATGTTTCAAAGGTGTTGAGGATTTAAATAAATGGTTTTACATTACATTTCATCTGCAAATTGCTTTTTTTTTTTTTTTTTACTTAATTGTTGCGAACTATGCAGGTGGGTACATGTAGATCTATGTCTTTCACTCACTGTTGTACAGTGTGTCTTCGAACAAATGGACCTTGTATCGCAGGCACCTTTCTCCCTGCTGTTGACAACCTAGGCTGTTCCCATGTTTTGCTCTCACTAAGCAGTGTGTGCGGAGCGCCAGGCCAATGTCTCCGTGCACATGTGTGTATGCGCTTTAGGGCCCCCATCCAGAGTGGAGTTGCTGGGTAGGCTGGCCTGGTTCTGTGCCAAAGCAGCTGTACCAGTTTATACCCTCATGCCCAGCACAAGGGTGCCTCTGTGATGATGATGGACTCTTTTTTAATTCCTGCTAATCTGCTAGATTAAAGCGATATCTCATTGCTTCAGCTTTTGCTTTCCTCCACACTAGTGGGTTTAGGTAACTCGTCATGTGGTTCTGAGTGGTTTTGAATTTTCTGTCATCATGTTCCTTATCAGTTTCCTGTTGGTTAATGAGACTTTTGTATTCATCACTGGGAGTTTTTCTTACATGTTCTGGGAGTGACCTGTTGCCTGCTCTCTGTGTTGTAACATCTTTCTCAGTCCCTGGGTTTCTTCATTTTGAGGATGAGTTTATTTTACGACAGTTTAACATTATGATGCTTTCAAGTGTCTCAGTCACTTTAAGGGGTTTGCTTTCTGAGTGTGTGAAGAAAGCTTTCTGTACCCCATGCAAATACTCTCCTTTATTTCTAATACTTCTATAATTTTGTTTTTTAACTTTTGCGTATAGTATGAAGTGTAGAGATCAAGATATTATATTTTAAATATACATATTCTTTAAAATTATGAAGACAGTACATTATCACTACTAAAAAACATTACAATCACTCAGAAACCACATGGCTATTATTTTGGCTTTTTTTCTCCTTTGTATCCCCCCCGCTCCCCTTTTAAATATACTTTATACATAAGAGTTTATATCTTTTTATATAACTAAACATCTAAATTACCATATTTTTGAATTACTTGTATATCATTGTGTTCTAATGTCCTGTACATGTGTGTTTTTTATGTCTTTACCTGAGTTTACTGAGAATTTAACTTTTGTCTGCCATGTTGGTAGGATTCTTTTCAATTTGTAGTTCATAGATATTAGATACCTATAGTAGAAAGAAAGATTCCCCTTTTCATATCATCTAAGGCCATGGTTCTCAAATGTTGGCATGTGTTGGGATCTTATAACATGCAGACTGCTGAGCCGCACCCTCCGAGTTTCAGAGCCAGCCCATCTGGGGTTCTCCTGTCTGACAGCTCCCAGGTGACCGGCTGCTGGTGGCCCTTAGGCCACGTTTGGAGTCCGCTGACCTGGAGGTCTGGATCCCCCTTCCATTGCACACAGCCTGAGGGCATTCATGCCTCCCGGCCGACCCCTACGATTCTGGCTTCATTGATCGGACACGGGCCAGATATTTCTAGTGAAAAATCCTCTGGAGGTTCTGAGCTACTGCCCCTTACTTCGTTACCGCAGCTTTGGTTTTCTGAAAATGAATGTTCTGTCTGTGCGGGCTGACAGCTCTGAGCAGTGCTCTGTGGGAATATTGATGACAGTAATTTTATTTGCATAATTCGAAATTCAAGGCTTCCAGCTTTTAGGAAACCTTCCTATTGTGGGTTAGATACCATTTTCTTCACCAGCGCTTTGCAAGTGCTGATGAAACTGCTTAGAGCAGTGGTCGGCAAACTCATTAGCCAGCAGAGCCAAAGAGCAACAGTACAATGATTGACATTTCTTTGGAGAGCCATATTTTTTAAACTTAATCTTCTTCTAATGCCACTTCTTCAAAATAGACTCGCCCAGGCTGTGGTGTTTTGTGGTAGGGCCACACTCAAGGGGCCAAAGAGCCTCATGTGGCTGGAGAGCCGCAGTTTGCCGACCTGGGGCTTAGAGCACTCCTGCCCCGCTTCCCGGGAGCGCCCTCCTGCAGCCCCAGCTTGCCATCTCTCAGCGCCTGGCCCGCACTGCTGTTCCCGGAGTCTCTTTTCTTGTCTGTTGTTCTGGGTCTTTTCTTAAATCTTCAGTGTTGGAAGTATTGCATAGGTCCTCCTTTCCTCCATTAATCTCTTCCAGCCCACTCCCCCTCCCCCTTCCCCCAGGCCTCACCACCCCATTGTCCGTGTCTGTGGGTGATGCATATGTGCCGACAAGCTCATTGGTGGATTTCTTCCCATCCACCCTGCCTTCCCTCTGAGGTTCCACAGTCTGTCCACGCTTCTGTGGCTCTGGGTCTATTTCTATCATCGGTTTATTCGGTTCATTTTCCCTGCATGTCTTGGTGCCGCTGCCCCTTTTCTCTGCTATCCTCAATCTTCTTATTTTATTTTAAGAATTCTTTATTGTTGAAAGTATTACATATGTCCCCCTCCCCCCCCATTGCCCTCTCCCATCCTCAGTCTTTTTTTTTCTTTTTTAAAAATATGTTTCTATTGATCTCAGAGAGGAAGGAATAGGGAGAATCATTAATCAGCTGCCTCCTACACGCCCCACACTGGGGATGGAGCCCACAACCCAGGCATGTGTCCTGACCAGGAATCAAACCGCATAGATCGACACTCAGTCACTGAGCCATCATGGCCGGCTGCTCCTCTGCTCGCATCTTCCACAAGAGCAGGTCACACTCGTCTGGCCAGCTGCCTCCTCGCGCCAGGCCTCCTCATGGCAGCCAGTTTGAGGCCAGCACCCATCGCTTGTCCACTTGGCTTGGCCACAGTGACGGGCTTATTGGGCAGGAAATATGGCCCCGTACAGGTTACTCCTGGGAAAGGGGCCGGGGGTTCAGCCAGGACAGCGAGGCTCCCGCTAAGAGCACCCTGGCCGGGCCCTCAGGAGGCCCCTTCACTGGGGCGGATCTTTGCAAAGGGGCCTCTGTTTGACGGTGTGTGAATCTGGGGTCACCGTATCGACCTCAGAGCATTGCAAGGATGAGCAGCAGACAGCGCTTGAAGCCCAGCTGGAGTTAATTGGGTGTTCCCTTTCCTTCTCCTCCGTCTTCCACTGGTGCAGGCAGGCTGGGTAGTGATCCCGGGAATGAGAAGCCTGGGAGATAGTGGAGAGTCGGAGTTTTATAGTTGGCTCTGCATCCTTAAATTTGTTTAATTAACAAGGCTATTCCCCAGCGATGATAGATCCAGCGTAATAAAATGCCCGAGTGTAAAATCTTACTTTAATATCACAAAAATAATTGAATACGATACCTCCCCAAATAACAGTTATAGGAGGTTCTGCTAAGAATAAGATCTACTTAGATGAAAACCATTCAAGTGTGAATGGTGCTTCATTTTCTCAACAGTCACCAGAAGTGACGTTAAGGCTGAAAGCTGGTGAGCTTGATTATCTAGCTGTAACTTCTCTTTTGCTTTTTCTCTAGGGAAGCGATGAGACTTCCCTTTGCATTATCATAAAGATAACATTTGAAATTTCCAATGCAGATAAAACTGATGTCATGAATTTCAGCAATATTTTATATCCAGCCAATTACACCACACAGCCTATTTTAATGTGATTATTTATACAATATGAGCAAATACTCCTCGTTACATTAGTATTTACAGATTCTCCAGATGGCAAATACACGTTCATTTAAAATGCAATTTATGGGAAACCCTCTGTGCTAACAAAGTGAAATAGAAAGTTCACCTTTCTCAGAGCTAACAGGCAGTGCGTGCTTAGCAGGGATGGATGTTTTGCTTTTTCTGGGTGAGATAGCGATGGGAAATGTCAGAAATAAAGAGAGGCTGCCCTGTGATCTTCCAGTCTTCTACAATAATTCTTATTCCAGTGGAATGCATCTGCAGTGGCTTTTCTATTCTGTCCTTACTGTTTGTGGGATAGCTCCTTGTATGGGTTAAACTGGATAGTTTCTATAGTTGCTAGTTTTCTTCCTTTTTAAAAAAATATACTATTGATTTCTGAGAGGAAAGGAAAGGAAGAGAGAGAGAAACACCAATGATGAGAGAGATTCATTGATTGGCTGCTTCCTGCACGCCCCACACTGGAGATGGAGCCCGTAGCCTGTAACCCAGGCATGTGCCCTGACCAGGAATCAAACCTCCTGGTTCATAGGTCGGTGCTCAACCACTGAGCCACACCAGCCATTTCAACATAACAAAAGCTACAAGGATGTTTTCAGGTGAGTTTAAATCGAATGAGAATCAGCCAAGAGGGAAAAGGTTAGCAAACAAACTTCAGGAACACAATTTGTGAGTAATGTACCAAACCATCAGGCACAGTGACTGCTGACCAGGGTCATGGGAGCCGCTTTGGGTAAACAGCTGCTGGGCAGAGGCTGCCCACTCGGCGGGCTGGGCTCTGTTGGTCGTCGGGGCAGGAGGGGAAAAGCTAAACGTGACCTGTGTGCACCAGCCGGGGCAGAGGGTTATTGTGTAAGGAGGGAGCCAGACAGCACGCCATTCCTAAAGGAAAAGGGAGGTTGCAGAGAGAGGGGCCCTGGACGTGGGGAAGGGCTCCGTGTCCAGGATGGAGAGTGTCCCCTGGGACGGAGGCGGGAGCCGTGGGGCGTGTGGGAGATAAGGCCGGTTCCTCCATCTCCCTGACTGACGTCCCCCAGGGACCAGCTCAGCCTCCTTCTAGGCTCACTTCCTCTCATTTCCAGCTCCAGCCCACCGACAAAATTCAGACCTTACGTTGAGGTGGTGTCCCCAGTACTTCCCCGAGCTCCCTGCGGGAGGAGTGAACAGACCGAGGGAAGGGCCTTGGAAGGGCCTGAGCAGTCTGAGAGCTTTGTGGGTTCCATGGCTCCGAGGAGCCCACACGGGGGGCTTCTGAGGGAGGGGAGCCCCCAGGGCGTAGGCATCGGGCTGAGTTATGGCCGTGTCTTCATCGCTCTCAGGGGAGGATGCAGAGCTTTCAGAGGTCCAGGGGCGAACAAGGAGAAAGCAGAAACAAACAAACAAACAAACAAACAAACACACCCCACTGCTCCAGGGAATGGGACACTCATCAGCTCTGAGTAGATGAATGCTTGATTCGGATGCCACTTCAGAAAGATGGTGCTCCTTATGGGAAGGTGAAAATGGACGAAAAGGGGGCAATGCTGGAATCTGGAAGACCCAGGAGGAGCCTACTGCAGGGGGCCAAGAGGAGTGACGGGGGCATGTGCCCGGGCGGTGGCGTTGGAGAGAGGAGGATGAGGTGTCCAGATTGGGGTGTCCGACAGGGGGACCAGGGTTTATCTCCCGGTTTCTGGCTTGGTGACCGTGAACTGGAACAAATAATGCAGGGTCAGCATCATGTTTGGGGAATGGGGAAGTGAATGGGTTCAGTGCTGGGCCTGTTTTGTTTAAAGCTCAAGAGAGTTGAGTTGAGGGAGGCTGGAGCTGGACACGAGAGGGAGTGAGCCTAGAAGGAGGCTGAGCTGGTCCCTGGGGGACATCAGTTAGGGAGATGGAGGGATCGGAAGCCAGCGAGGAAAGCCCTCCCAGGAAAGAGTGTGCCATCTCGTCATGTATCCCAAAGGAAGCGGGGAGAAGGAGTGACCGGAAAGCCATTGAATTTGGCAGGTAGACAATGAATGGGCGCCTCAGCAAGTTCAATGCCAGTAGAGTAGTGGGTAAGGAGCAAAATACACTGTCCTGAGAGGGACTCAGAAACATGTAAAAACTAGTTGGTTAAAAGAGAAAGTTTGCTGGAAAAAAACAAGGAGAATGGGGGTAAGGAATCCGGGGAAGGGGGCGGGGTTAAGGAAAAGACAGTGCAGGAAGAGAGGACTTGAGTGTTGGGTGTTGTGGAAAGAAACTCCAGAGAAACAAGACCTGGGAATAAGAGGGGCCATAGGGAGTGTCCTCGGAGTGGCCTCTGGAGGGAGTGCCAGGAAGCAGGTATGCTCAGGATGAAGAAGGAGTAGTGTGGGCACCACCTCCTCAGAGGCAAGGGCACAGCTACTGGAGATGCTGTGAAGAAAAGGGGGCTCATGCCTGTTGCTCTCATGCTTGTAGGAAAGGAGGAGGCCTCGCACACATGAGGGGTGACCAGGAAGGACCATGCCTCTGGGAAGGGAGGGGTGAACGTTGACATTGTAGGGAGATGAGAAGTGGAGTCAGCTGATCATGAACTAAAAGGCGGACTAGCCAAGAGACCCCCTCCGCCACCCCGGGACATCAGTGCACGTACAATGTGACGGCTGTTTGGGCTGATAGCTTACTATGTTCAAAGCAGCATGATAGGTCCTGCCAGCCAGATGAGGGGTTAACCTGTGTGCGCCAGTGGTCCTTGTTGGGTGGGGAACTCAGACTTGGAAAGCTGTGGATCGGGTGTGGCAGGGGAGGAGCGGGGAGGCAGTGCGAGTGTGTGCAGGTGTACAGGTGTGTCTTAACCCAGCAGGCTCAGCCAGCACGTTGTAGGGTGGCAGACCAAAGAGCAGCGAGCACAGAGGGAAGCTGCCAGGGGCCTCCGGGTACGTGTGGGGGTGGCAGCCAGGAGCAAGTGATGGACACGGAGGAGCCACAGGCAGGGCAGCCTCTTCCCTCGCCAGCGCGTGGCTGGGAGAGAGGAAAGCTGAACTGCGAGTGATACCGGAGAAACCCGAAGAGCCATGATGGTCACAGCCTCTGAAGCAATAAGGCTGGGCGGAAGGCCCCCCAGTTGGCTTCACAGAGCCCACAGAACGCCGGCTCCCATGGCTTATATGAGCTGCATATCATTTAGCCTGATTTCTATCATTTGGCAATCAAGCATACTACCCAATGCAGCAGATTTATCTGTGTGGATTTCAGCTGATGGCAGGGCCAGGTTTTGCATTTGGTTCTAAAAGACGGCAAACACTGTCAGCAGAACAGGCCGGCGGGAGATGGCGAATTTTTTTCCTAGTTTACTCCGTGAAACCCAGGCGTCTGCATTTTATTATTATTTTTGTTGTTGTTTTTAACCCTCACCCGAGGACAGTTTTCCATTGCTTTTCCATAGAGTGGAAGAGAGAGAGAGAAACATCGATGTGAGAGAAACTCATCGGTTGGTTGCCTCCTGCACATGCCTGGACCAGGGCCCTGGCCGGGGAGGAGCCTGCCACTGAGGTACATGCCCTTGACTGGAATCGAACCTGGGACTCTTCCGTCTGCAGTCCGGCCAGGCATTTGCACTTCAGAATATTTCTTCCCAGCATGCCCTCGTGCATCGGGGAAGCCACTGATGAAGAGGGGGTGAGGGGGAGAGGCGGCTGAGGAGCAGAAGCGAGGAACTGCGTGCTTTAGATTGTGAAATCCTGGCCGCTGAGGCTCAGAGAGGGAACCTCAGCATTTGCTGGTTTCTGTTTTGTGAGATGAGGAGGCTGGGAAGGACTTCGTTCTTCGTTTTGTGTGTAAGGGAACGGAAATGATTTTCTGTCTAAGATTATTCCTCTTCCACTGGTATACATGAGAAAACCTATTAGGAGAGACTCCTTCAGTCATATCGGATCTGTGGTAGGTGCTCAACATAAATGTGGAGCCCACCGGGCTGGCTCAGTGGTTGAGTGTCGAGCCAGGCACCTAGAGGTCGCTGGTTCAATACCTGGTCAGGGCACATGCCTGGGTTTCAGGTTCAATCCCCGGTTGGTGGCATGCAGGAGACAGCAGGCTGATGTTTCTATCTCTCTCTCCCTCTCCCTTCTCTCTCTAAAATAAATAAAAACATATTAAAAAATAAATCTGCAAAATTACACACTAGCCAGTATGAAGCCATGGGTCAGACTGTTGGTTGTCTGTTTGATCCTGAAAGGTTGCCTGTTTGATCTCTGATCAGGGCACATGGCCAGTCAGGTTGTGGGCTCGAGGCCCTGTAGGAGACAGCCGATCAGTGTTGTGCTCTCACATGGATGTTTCTCTCTCTCTTCTTCTCCTTTCCTCTCTTTCTAAAAATAATAGAAATCTTTAAAAATGTGCCGAATTGTGTTTGCAGACTTTGTCTCTTAAAAATGACAGTGACAGTAGCTGACAGTGTGAGTGTGTCCCTGTGTGCTGGCACTCAGTAGGTCCTTCACACTCTGCTTCACATGATGGGTGCAACCCCTTCGGGAGGCAGGCATTGCCATCGCCGTTTACCCACGGGGAAACTGAGGCACAGGGAAGTCAAATCATTTCTCCAATCGACAGCTGCTGGTCAGTCTGGCTGCTTCAGGAATTGCCTCTCTGGTGCTGTGCTGTTGTGTGCCCTCTGTGCACTGTGTTGAAATGAAACATAACGCTTCAATACCTGACTAGCTGTTAAATTGCAAACGTGCAAAGTTGTCAATTCATGCAAACACGTCCCAAAGGCTATGAAAATACTACTCAAAACCAAAAAGTTAAAAATGCTGATTTTTTTAGGTCGATTTACTAAGGGTAATGATTGTGTGACGGTATATAATTTGTCATGCAAACTGAAATTGAAAGGGGGGGTGATAATTAGGTGCTGTTACCGGGAACAGACCACACTGCTCTGGCAGCTACGCTATGCCACTTCCCCTCCTGATGGCTGGCTCGTCTTCATCTTTGAGGCAGAAAAAAAAAACAACACATTAAAAGCGTTACTCATGTTCTTGACTTTCCAGGGGGATTTCTCAACGTCAACGTGAGTGAAGTGAGCTTTGATGAAATTCACCAGCGCTTCTCCAGGGACTCAGACATCGAGCCGGGAGGACACTGGAGGCCGAAGGACTGCAAGCCCCGGTGGAAGGTGAGGCGCGTTGTCCCAGGAGCGAGGTTGCTGCGCCTCCGAGGAGTGTGAGCTTGACTCCGAATGAATGCACAGCCAAGTAGCTTTAATCTGGATGGATTGCAGAAAGCAGCACTTCCACATTAGTGCATGGGTGTTCACAGTTCACATGTGAATTAACAGTGTGCCTCGGGAGGATTGTCTCTGCACGGGTGCATGTACGAAGTCACATTTATCAGTCTTAGCAGCTCTGTTCTGTCCGGAAGAGAGGCCGTGGTTCTCTGCCTTCGGCCCCACCTGCCCCGCGTGCTCACTGACCCGGAGGCGCGGCCCTCCAGGCCCAGGAGCCGGTGCCAGCGTGTGGGGAGGATGGCAATGTCTTGGTTCCCTCTTGGGTCCAACATTGCGGTTTTCAAGCTCTGTTCCTCCGCGCCCAGAACTCTAAAGCGGCCACTTGGAGGTCCCCGAGAGGCAGAACGGAGAGCGTTGGGCTCTTTCCCTCTGTTTCAGAAGGCAGAGCACAAACATCTTTTTCAAATAGATTTTTATTGATTTCAGAGAAGAGGGGAGAGGGGGAGAGAGAGAGAGAGAGAGAAACATCACTGATAAGAGAGAATCATGGGTCGGCTGCCTCCTGCACTGGGGATCGAGCCCACAACCCGGGCATGCGCCCTTGACTGGGGGTTGAACTGTGACCTCCTGGTTCATAGGTTGACATTCAATCACTGAGCCACGCTGGCTGAGCCAGAGTACAAACTTTTTATCTCGTTGTTATGTTGGAATTCTACTTAATGTTTTGTTTGGGAGGGCCGGCCTCTGCTGCTCACAAACACTGTCGTAGAGAACCACATCAGACATTGGACTTCAAATGCTATGGCTTGTTTTCTCCTGACTTTCCAGCAGACAGGCAGATGCACAGTCTGGGCTAGAAGTGACTCTTGACCTATTCCCCTCCCTCACTTCTCACACCTCATCCATAAACAAATCCTGTCTATCGACCTTTTATTTATTTATTTATTTTATTTTTAAAAAATATTTATTTTTTATTTTTTTACAGAGAGGAAGAGAGAGGGTTAGAGAGTTAGAAACATCGATGAGAGAGAATCATCGATCAGCTGCCCCTTGCACACCCCCACTGGGAATGTGCGCGCAACCAAGGTACATGCCCTTGACCGGAATCGAACCTGGGACCCTTCAGTCCGCAGGCCGACGCTCTATCCACTGAGCCACACCGGTTTCAGCTGTCTATTGACCTTTTAAATGCTTCAGAACAACGTGCACCTCTCTTCTTCTTCGACCTTCCCTCAGGTCATGCTGTCATCATCCCATCTCAACGGTTGCTTTGATTTCCAAACCGTCTCCCCATCCGTTTTTGGCTTTCTCCTTCTCTCATCCAGTCTCCACCATCACCACCTCTGATTTGATCAGGCTTTTTCAGTCTTCCCGCCACTTCTCCTGGTGCTCAGAGGATGATGACCACACGCCTTGGGACGGCCCTCAGAGCCCACGCATCGCGCCCCAGGTTCCCAGGGTCAAGGTGGCGAGGGCCAGGGCCGCGTCTGTTTCTGCTCACGGCTAGGTGTCCGTGAGAAGATTCGTAGGGGTGTGTGTGGCTCTGACACCACGGTCAGTGTGTGAGGGCTGCTGCTGTTTTACTGACCCGTGACTGTTTTTGCTTCCAAGGTGGCCGTGCTTATCCCCTTCCGCAATCGTCACGAGCACCTGCCCATTTTCTTCCTGCACCTGATTCCAATGCTCCAGAAACAGCGGCTGGAATTCGCCTTTTATGTCATCGAACAGGTGAGAGTGTTTTTCAAAGGGTCACCGAGTCTACTCTTCGATGTGGTTGGATTAAAAATATTTGGCTTCAGGTTAGCTAGGTAACTAAAATGCTTCGTTTTATATTTAGATATAATTGAGTTTTGGAGTGAACTGGTAGTGGCACGTATACTATGTTTTGTTAATCCATTTATCTCATCTTATATCTTTTTAAAAAAAATATATATTTTATTGATTTTACACAGAGAGGAATTGAGAGGGACAGAGTTAGAAATGTCGATGAGAAAGAAACATCGACCAGCCGCCTCTTGCACACCCCCCACAGGGGATGTGCCCGCAACCAAGGTACATGCCCTTGACCGGAATTGAACCCGGGACCTTTCAGTCCGCAGGCCGACGCTCTATCCACTGAGCCAAATCGGTCCAGGCTCATCTTATATCTTACCCATTAGACTAAATATTTGCTTCTCTCTTCTTTGTATTACCAGCTAATTTTCTCTCTAAGTATTTCTCTTGCCTCAGTATTTTATATACACAATTCCTTTTGTCTTATTTGAAGCCTTTGAGATCTTTCCCATTCCTGTTCTTTTTTCCTGCTTCTGTAGTTGCCTAGGTTTAGACTGAAACGCCATCTTTGATTTCTTTCTGGCCTTTCCCCCTCCCCGGCTCCCACACATTGGGGCACCTGCTGAATTTCATTCTGGATTTCCACATAGCATTGCTGAAACTGTGCATTTTGTGTTTCAAATACTTACAATTTGGATTCTTCATGTTTTGACATTGAAGAAGTAATTTTATCCCAATTTTCCCATTTCTTTTTTGCTCACACTAAGCCTGACTAAAAATGTATTTCCTTATGTAACTGTAATGGGAAGTGACCTGTTTTATTTTGTGGCTCTTCCACAAAATACCACGGCCTGGGCAAGTCTGTTCTGAGGAGTTTAAGTTTAAAAAATGTGGCTCTCTTGCTGAAACTGGTTTGGCTCAGTGGATAGAGCGTCGGCCTGTGGACTCTAGGGTCCCAAGTTCGATTCCGGTCAAGGGCATGTACCTTGGTTGCAGGCACATCCCCAGTAGGGGGTGTGCAAGAGACAGCTGATTGATGATTCGCTCTCATTGATGTTTCTAACTCTCCATCCCTCTCTCTTCCTCTCTGTAAAAAAAAAGAATAAAAGTATTAAAAAAAATAAAAAAAATAAATAAAAAATGTGGCTCTCCAAAGAAATTTCAGTCGTTGTACTGTTGATATTTGGCTCTGTTGACTAATGAGTTTGTATCCGCAACCAAGGTACATGCCCTTGACCAAAATCGAACGTGGGACCTTTCAGATCGCAGGTTGACGCTCTATCCACTGAGCCAAACTAGTTTCGGCAGGTCTCAGATTTTTCAGGAAATCTCCACCCAGGGAGACACAACCGATTGAACAAAAGGGAGCGTAAAAATATAAAAAACGAAGATCTTGGTAGGAATAGAAGACATCTAAGGAAAGAAAGGATGTGAGCAACTGAAACTCAGAAATAATCTACACCCTGATATTTGACGTACAACAGAAGCAGGAATGCTGTCATTCTGTAAATGTGCTGCTCACTCAGCGGCTAGCCCAGTGGTCGGCAAACTCATTAGTCACCAGAGCCAAATAGCAACAGTACAATGATTTTGAGAGCCGCATTTTTAAAACTTCTCCTAACGCCACTTCTTCAGAATAGACTCGCCCAGGCCGTGGTGTTTTGTGGAAGAGCCACACTCAAGGGGCCAAAGGGCCGCATGTGGCTCACGAGCTGCGGTTTGCCGACCACTGGGCCTGATAATGACATTATAGTTGACCAGTGCATGGCATCGTGCAGGTAAGTCCCAGCGGGCAGGTGAAAGCCCTGCAGCGCGCGCCGTCTTACACGGGGTCAGGTGTGTTACTGGCCATGCTCCCCAGCGCTAGGCAGTGGGAGAGCAGCCAGGCAACCGGGCCCGGGGCCTCTGTGTCTGTCTCCCGCGCAGACCGGCTCGCAGCCCTTCAACCGCGCCATGCTCTTCAACGTGGGCTTCCGGGAGGCCACGCGGGACCGGGCGTGGGACTGCGTCATCTTCCACGACGTGGACCACCTGCCCGAGAACGACCGCAACTACTACGGCTGCGAGGCAATGCCGCGCCACTTCGCGGCCAAGCTGGACAAGTACATGTACATGTGAGTGCGTGCGGCCCCGGGGGCATGACACGCGTGTCCGCCCGGGGCCGGGATGGGGCCGCGGCTGGTCTTGCTCTGGGACTCATTTCCCTCAGCGCAGTGCCTTTGGGCCGTCCGTGCGTCACAGGCGGGGAGATTTTGCTGTTCCCTGGCCGAGGGCTGTTTTGCTGTGTGTGCCAGTGTGGGCCACAGCTGCTTTATTCACCTGTGTCTTGTGGACACGGGGGCTGCTTCCAGCCTTGGCTTTTGTGAATGACGCTGCCACGAACTTGGGTGAATAGGTTCTTCTGACTCCGTGTTTTGGGTTTCTCCCAAGGTAAACCCAGAAGTGGGTCCGATGGGAGTTCCCTTTTCAGTTTTCTGAGGGAGTTCCACACGGTTCTCCACGGCGGCTGCACCAGCCTGCATTCCCACCAGCGGGGCACGAGGGCCCCTCTTCTCCTCATCCTCACCGGCGCTTGCTGATTTATTGATGCCCAGCCCTTCTGACCGGTGCGAGATGATGGCACATTGCGGTTTTAATTTGCATTTCTTTGCTGCTCAGTGACGTTGAGCATCTTCTCGTATGTCTCTTGGCCCTCGGCATGTCCTCTTTGGAGGAGTGTCCGTCCAGGTCCTTTGCCATTTTTTTAAAATTGGATGCCAATTTTTTTAAGTGTGAGTTGTGGCATTGAGTGATAGGAGCTCTTTATGCATTTTGGATATTAGCCGTATCAGAGGTGTCATTGGCGAACACACGCTCCCATTCAGTGGTGCCGAGACGGGAGCTGCATGGCCGGTAAAGGGTGCCCTCGGACCCGGGGCAGGCCCCGCGGCCTCACTGGCCCTGGAAGTGGAGAGGAGAGGAGGCCCTGGGACAGGGCGGCTTCCTCTCCTCTCCGCCTCCGGGCCGGTGGAACCGGATTTCGAGTATAAAGTCACGATACCAAACATGAATGTCCGTTCCCACCAGCGCTCGGGAACACACGCACCCGGTGCGCTTGCTTCGCGGGCGGCGAGAGCTGTGCGCCTGGGCTGTGCCCGCCTCCCGGACATGACTGGAGCAGCAGCGATCGGCCTTTCCTGGGCGGCGGGGGCGCCCGGGAGGCGGGGGCTTGGTTTCGGGGGCGCCCCGCCTGCTTTGGGTCTCAGGGCGCTCTGCCTGCTTCCTCCCAGCCTCCCGTACAAAGAGTTCTTCGGCGGCGTCAGCGGGCTGACCGTGGCGCAGTTCAGGAGGATCAACGGCTTCCCCAACGCCTTCTGGGGCTGGGGCGGCGAGGACGACGACCTGTGGAACAGGTGCGTGCGGCCGTCCTCCCGCAGGGACGTGTCCTGGCGGCCCGAGGCAAGATGCTCTGGATGGGAACGTCTGAGATTCCCGAATCCTGCTTGGTGTTTCTAACCCCCCGCCGCTCCCCTCCCCGCCAGAGGGCCTTCCGAAATGAGGGACAGCACCCCTGCGTGAGAGGGTGGTGGCAGACTGAGGCTCGAGAGCCACATGCGGCTCTTGGGCCCCTTGAGTGTGGCTCTTCCACAAATACCACGGCCTGGGCGAGTGTATGTTGAAGAAGCAGGCGTTAGAAGACGTTTCAGTTTTAAAAAATGTGGCTCTCCAAAGGATTTTCAATCGCTGTCCTGTTGATGTTTGGCTCTGTGGACGAATGAGTTTGCCGACCACTGGCTAAGAGCATTCTTTTGCGTTTTAAGTTGAGCTCATATCACCAGTGTTGATGTGAGATTTTATTTCGTTCTGTTCTCGTCTGCACGTTGCAGGGTTCACTTCGCCGGGTATAACGTGACGCGGCCGGAGGGGGACCTGGGAAAATACAAATCCATCCCGCACCACCACCGGGGGGAAGTCCAGTTTTTAGGGCGGTGAGTCTAACATCCTCGTCAGAGGCCATGTTCCCGGATTATTTAATGTGGAGGGAAAGCTTCAAAACATGCTGCTCCCCCAAACCTCCCGAAGGGCAGTTTCTGTCCATGCCACTTTTTATATAGAAGGAAAGCATTCTCGTGCCGGTTTTGAAAAGATATACATATATCGGCACACACACATCTATTTCTGTTCTAGTAAAGAGCCCAGTGAACTGGTTATACCAAAAGAGCATGTTCTCAGCACAAAAACACAACCCATTTTCCCCTTAAAGGGTATGTCTAAGTCATAAGGGTGAGAATCATTTTTTCAAAGGTGGCATTTTGAGCCTCGTTATAATGCTCACTTAGAATGAGGGTCTCTCGAGGTGTTTCACTATGTTTGAGAACCAACGAATGTCTGCGCCGTGGTCAGCAAACTGCGGCTCGCGAGCCACAGGCAGCTCTTTGGCCCCTTGAGGGTGGCTCTTCCACAAAATACCACGGCCTGGGCGAGTCTATTGTGAAGAAGTGGCGTTAGAAGAAGTTTAAGTTTTAAAAATGTGGCTCTCCGAAGACATGTCAATCGTTGTGCTGTTGGTATTTGGCTCTGTGGACTGATGTGTTTGCCGACCACTGGTCTGGCACATTAAGGGCGGGCATTCACCAGGATGACCTGGAGCATCTTCCCTGCCCGTTGTTCCCTTTGGGACATGTTTCTCTTGCTTCCCCTTTCCTCTCCAACACCCTAGGTACAAGCTGCTGAGGTACTCGAAGGAGCGCCAGTACATCGACGGGCTCAACAACCTGGCCTGCGCGCCCAGTGTCCTAGTGGACAGGCTGTACACCAACATCTCCGTGGACCTCACGCCCGCGCTGGCGCCCATCGGAGACTACTGACGGCGTGGCCCGCGGCCGCCTGGATGGTCAGGCTGACCATGCACACGGGTGGCTCCCAGAGGGGGTCCGTGGTGGACGTGGCCCGGGCCCGCCAGGCAGAGGAGCCCACTGTCCTCGGGGACCAGCGTGGGGTTGTCTACAGCAGCCTCCTCCCTCCCATCCCGAGGCGCCCCCCTTCCCCAACCCCCCAGCGAGTGCTGCAGAGACCGGGTGCCATCGCTAAGACTGCAGAGAAAGACACTTTTATCCTGAGACCTATCATCTCACTCAGGAGAAGGCTTTATTTCTGTCGAAACATACTCTGTCCATAGGGGATTACATGGATGTGTTTAAACTGTTGAGCCATAAGACGTGTTGGCAGTTTTGCATGTAATGGCCTAGGCCTTTATTGGACTTTTATAAACGTTTTTTATTTGCATGGAAACCAGCCGTGTACGTTTAGGAAACGGAACAAAGGTCAGCCCCTGTGGGACACGAAGGGACTGTCAATGATTGACAGCCGGCGTCTGCGCTAGACTGTTGTCCTGGTTCTGAGCGTTCGACCTTCAGCCTCCGTGTGGGGAGGAGGTGGCTGTCTAGGCCTTGAGGACGGAAGAAACGGCTCAGGCCGCCTTCCTGCTGCCAGGATTGCCCTCGTTTGCCCTTGCCTGCAATCTCATCAGATTCTGCTAAAATCGCCACCGTGATGTTGATGCATACTGCATGACGAATGCTGGGAAAAATCTTAAAAGTTGTGGTGTGACATCACATCCAGGACCTCTTCACGTTCAATGCTTTTCATGTACCTCTGGTGTTAAGTGTCAGGGATTTTTGTGCCTCAGTGTTGTGTGTGTTTGCACACTCTTTTGTTTGTTTGTTTTGGTTCATAGTGAATAGCACTTTTATTATTTCTAGTTCAGAAGAGCCAAATTTTTTTTTTTTTAGTTTAAAAAATAAAATCAAAACAATTTTTTAAAAGAATGTGTTCTAATGAAAACCTATAATATACAAATGAATTATACTGTTAGATAAGAAAGGAAATGTTATATTTTTATGAAGATAAATGCTTAGTAGGTAGAAAATAAATCACAAATTCAATTCGCAGACTCACAGAATTTGAGTTCGGAAAGCATTCTTTTTCATCTTGCCCAATTTCATTCAAACTTTTCCCCCCCACTTTTAAGAAATTACATCGCTGGTGTTAATTATTAAAATTTCCTCACTAAAAGCATAATTTAATAGAATTATATTCTAACACATAATCAGCTATTTATGTTGATGTTATAAGGCGAGTCTTAGAAAACAGGTCTTATTACCTGACATCAAGTATGTTACTTTATCTTAAATTTGGATGAAGTTTTTAGGGCAAAAACCAAACAATATTTTTACTTTGAAAATTACCAATTATTGTTAACCAAAGATTCGTTAAATATCTTAAGGTATTTTCACAAATTCAAAACAAAAAAATTGTTTATCTATACAGTGAATCTTTAACAACAACGAGGAACAATAGAAATCGGTATTTGAAAGATGCTTGGATAATAGTTGACTCAGAGATTCCTCACCTAAAAGAGAAATATGGTATTTATCTCAGGTTGTAAGTTTAATTTTTGAAGTTGGCATTTTCTATGGCAATATTGGTAACGCAAATGGTCACCAACCAAATCACAAAATAAGAGAATTTCTTGCACTTTTAGAAAATCGATAGCTCTCTGTTATGATATATAATAGAGTTTTCCCAAATTTTTTTCTTAGGAGTATTTCCAAAATATTTGTCTCTAATTTTTTTTTTTTGCTTGTAATGAATAATCAGATTGCTCAAAGTAAATTTGTTCTTAGTTTGTCTATCTGCTCATTTTCTGTCTCTCATAGTTACTGTAGTTTAATTCAATGAAATGGAGGAAAGTAAATTAGGATGTTACCATTTGTTGATTGCTAACAAGATAGTTGGGACATAGGAACATAATTAATCCATAAAAATAAAAATATTTTAGTTGTGGAGGAAATTAGGACTGTTTCTGAGTCTTAAGAAATCATATATATATTTTAAGGTGGAGCTGCCCACATTTTGAAATCTTTTTATTTTGGTATACATTTTATAGTTTCAGAGAACTCAGTTCTATTAGTATCTGCCTTATTTTTTTGGATTAAGTCTAATAGAAATTTTTGTTTTCGGAGTGGGCCATGAATATTTTGCTTTTTTTTTTTTTTTTTTCAGTTTTGAATATGGTGTGTCATTCTGTGAAAAAACATCTTATTAGTTGGCTTTTTGTCTTTTTTATTTTGCTTTTTCACCACAGACTTAAAATTGATTTTGGCCTATAATCATTTAGTATATGTTTCAACAAAAGTGACAGAGTTTTGCCCAATTATCTTTATTACTGGAAAATACTAGTAAATCTATTCCACAAGACTAACAAATATCTTGCAAATGCAGACCGTCTTCTTGATTGTTTTGTTTGGTGGCTACATTAGTGAGATGTGTTCTTACCGACGCTGACAGGTGGGATGTGAGGTATGTCTACGGGGAAAGCACTTCAATTCTAAACAAATCGAGTCAGGCAAGATTAACCCTCTCTACAATGAAGACACTTCAGATAACTTCCTTCTTGTACTTAATCTCAGAATTGAGAAGCATTCAGATGTGGACATACAAGGTCCCTCTGGCACTACTAGGAAAGTAACAGTGCCTTCAACTAGAGGAAGTAACAGTGTTTGATGGGCCTATTTTCTTAAGATAAACGTTTATTTATTTCAGAGAGAGGAAGGAAGAGGGAAACATCCACGATGAGAGAGGATCATTGATCAGCTGCCTCCTGCACACCCCCTATTGGGGATCCGGCTTCAAACCTGGCATGTGCCCTGACCAGCAATTGAACTGTGACCTTCTGGTTCATAGGTCGATGCTCAACCATTGAGCCACACTGGCCGGGCTAATGGGTTTATTTGTAGAAAAAGGAAGAGTGTTCACATTTGCGGTAACATTGTATCAAATTCATAATGAAAACAGTCATTTAAATCTTGCCAAAAATTAGGGTTCAATGAATATTTTTAAAAAAATCTAAATTTTTATTAGTGTTTTGTGAAAAGGTGTTCAGCAAGAAAACCTTACTTACAATATTGTGTGAATACGAAATTATGCATCAGAAACTAGCTTATCCTTCTTTCCCAGCCAAGAGGTTAACATCCACTTTAAACAAAATGGAAAAACATGCAATGCAACATTCTCCCTCCTTTCTGGCTACATATGAGAGAAAGCAGTGTTTACTTGGTGTTTGTCTTATATTTCCTTATGTGTCTTCTTTCCATATTAGCACTCAAGATTTATTGTCTGGTATTTGCAAGGATGCCAGTTGAGAGCACTATCGATAAAACGGTCATAGTGGTGTTTATCAGAAAGAGAAATTATTCCGCGTTTATTTATTAAGATCCAAAAGGCTTTTACCTAAAATGCACTGAATTAAATGCTAGTCATTTCTTGTTTTTTTTTTTTTTTTTTTTTTTTTTTTGTTTTGTTTTGTTTTGTTTTGTTTTCTTCTCATGGAAATGTTTGTACTTTTTTATCATTGTCTTTGATGAAATACAGTATTCTGAAGACTTTGTGTGATGGCGTACTCACTTTCTCTTGGGAACTTTTTTGGGGTTTTCTGGGTTTTCCGTTGTTGTGTTTGTGTTTTTCCACATAAAAACGGTCCCCAGAAAGAAAACCCAGGGGCTGTGCTGTGTGCCGATTGCCCATCTTCCTCTGGTGGGCGACGTCGCCCTGTGCCGCTGCATGATGTTACCTTGGGGACGAGGGCTGGGGACCGGGTACAGGGGTCTCTGAATCACTTCTTACAGCAGCATGTGAACCACACTCCTTCAGCTGGAGACATTTCATTTAAAAAGAGGCCAAGAGCCCGGCCAGCAGTGTGGCTCAGTGGTTGAGCGTCCACCTATAGACCAGGAGGTTTGATTTTATGTCATTTACATCTCAACAAAGCTGGGGGGGGGGTGTGTTCATGTCTAAAAAGACCGTCACAGCAACCCCCAGGCTTGGGGTTTGACCGTGGGCACCATGGCCTCCCCATGCTGACACAGCACTGACCGTCACAGCTCTTCTCTGTCTGTGCCCCCATCGCAGGGGCCTGTTAGCCACTCTCTCCTCCCGAGGTCCCTGGGAAACGGCTAAAACGCGATGAAGACCCCTCTAGCTGCGGGGAAGGAAATGCTGCCGCTGCTTCTGATTAGTGTGAAAGGCCTTGGATGGGCGGAATGAACGGATTTATCTCCGGTAGGGCCAACCGGAGGCTACCAAGGTCACTCCTTATCAGCACCCATCACTGCTGTGAGGCTTCAGCGGCAGTTCCTCACTGACCAGATTAACCGGGAGCCCACACACTCCTGTGACGAATCTGTTTATCCCCTGCCTCTCCCGGCTTCCCAAGGCTTTCTGCAGGGCTTTGAGCAAATACTCCACTTTCTGTATCTCAACTTTATCTCCCCCAAAGCCTCCCAAACCCAGCACTCCCGACCACTGGCCCATTTCCTGCCTGTGCAGGGTGGTTTGATTCTACAATCTGAACCTAAAGCCCCAAATTCTCCCCGCTGCCTGCCCCGCCCCGCCCCGCCCATGATTTTTCAGCGGCCAGCTCCTTACAAGCTATTCCTACCCTCTGCTTTGCAATCACACTAATCTCCTCCAAGATAGCTTGGCTGATGTCGTTTTCTACAACTTGACTACTCCTCCATCGTCACATCTATTTTTCCAGTACAACTTGTGATATCTGATTACAAGCCTATCTTAATAAAGAGCTAATAAGCTAATTAGACCGAACGGCAGAATGGCCATCCGGATCATTCAGGCTGCGGGGGCCTGCCGAGGCTGCGGGGAGCTGCGAGGGGCCCGGGGGGAGGAGAGGGGCTGAGCCCCTCGCACGATTCCATGCACCAGGCCTCTGGTATTAACTGAAGGACCCTCCTGTGGACTACGGCTGATTGAGGTGGACATGCCGTTCCCAAAAGAGGTTCAATTGGCCAATAAACATGAGACAAGATCTTCAGCATTGCTAAGTAAAGAGAAAAGGAATACAAGTAAATATTAAATGCAAACTTGACATTCAGAATGGCAAGAGGCGCCAGTGAAGACAAGCCCAGGACAAACCCCGAAGGAGGTCTCCTGTGGCCCAGGACTGGAAGAAGCACAGTTCGGGGGCTCACAGTAACAGCAACTTATTATCTCACGGTCCTGGAAATCAGAAGTTCAACACCAAGGTGCCAGCAGAGCCACGCTCCTTCGGAAACGTGTAGGGGGGCGCCCTTCTGTCCATCCTGGTGTTCTTGGCTCCTTGCCGCATCCTCTGCCTCTGCGATCACGTGGCCACGTGGCCTTCTCCCGACGTGTCTGTGTCTGCCCTCCCCCTGTGAGGACCCCGTCATGTGGGAGCAGAGCCCATTCTGCGTGACCTCCCGTCACTAACTCATCCTTTAGGACGCTTTCCGAGTCACGTCACCATCACAGGGGGGAGGCGTTGGGGTTTCAAAAGATCTTTTTAGGGGCCGCGTCTCCACCCACAACACTGGCCACGAAAGGGCGTAAGCCAGGATGTTAACATGGACAACACAGGACAAGGAGAAAGGGCCGTCTCGGTGGCAGCAGCCTGGACAGAGGACAGCGGGAGCCAGGGAGCACGTTTCATTGATGCCACGGTGCTTCGGCCAGCTCGCAGAGGGCGGAGCAGGGGCCGGAGGGAGGGAGAGGCCGCCCACCAAACAGTTGATTTCAATGAACAGCAGTTAAGTTTGCTGACAGGAGGCGGAGGTTGGGACATTAAATTCAGTTCTGACACGTGGATAAATGAAAGTTCCGGGTTTTCAAACTGCTTGGATAACGAAAGTCACTAGTATTGTATAGCAGCCACACGGAAAAGTAGCAAGTTATAAACAGGCAGGTCAGAGACCAGTGGCATCACGGCAGCTATTGGATTATGTCTTATGAAACCGCCGTTATCCGATCATTTCACATACAAAAACGGCCACTGGACAGGCACTCACTCAGTCCATACGGGAGAAGGCCTCACGCCACAGAATCGGAGGCTCTGACTTCACGCCCTATGCTGGAAAGCTCGGTGCAGAGTCCGAACCCACACCCCACTCTTTGGGAGTGTCTGACTCCGCAGCTGGCTGGAGCAGGCAAGGCTTTCGATGTGAATGAGGAGGGAGAGGGAAACTCGTTCTGTTCATGGCCTAAGCCTGGGGCCTGCTGCATCCTGGCAGGAGAGGAGGCACCGGACGTGATGGGGATGACACTGACAAGGTTCCTATCCAGGACCCATGAAGCAGCTCTAACAGGGGCAGGAAAAACCCCCCTCTTCCTTCGGTGGTGGAGACGCTGTGGACCACACAGATCAGTGCTTTTCCCCAGGACGCGGGCTGTTCTGAGAGGTCCCTCCCAGCCAGGGAACACATGGCCCAGCGCCTCTGAAGCAGACCATGTTCCTATTTCTGGCGAGGGAAATGGCACGGGGAGTCACGGGTGGCCCTTCAGCAAGAGGGGCCAGTGCTGCACACGGTCTCCTTCCTTCCCGTCTGCGGACCAGGGGCTTTAGGTTGGAATTTGGAGGAAAACGGAAAGATCGTTTTGTTTATGAACATTGAGGCCTGAACTTGGGGTCCGACCCGAGTTTCCCTGTCGCGTCCTGGCTGGAGATGGTGCACAGGTTCAAGTCCCTTTAAGCCACAGAGTGAAAAACACGGGGCCTGAGTCACCCCTGGAGGGAAGCCACCCCAGAATCACAGGCCAAGCACCTCTGTGGGACGGGCCTGCCTGGGAAGGGAACTCGGTGTTTGCTGAGCCACAGCGCCGTGGGGCTGTTCTGGCAGCATTACCTCGCCCGCCCTGACCCCATACCCCTCAGCATCCTGAACCCCTATCTGGCGCCTCAGCTCACCACCACGTCTCCCGGGCCTGGCCTTGCCATCTGTTCTCTCTCCTGGGAGCACCTCCTTGCTTTTCGACCCGGAAAACCGGCAGCATCCAGGGGAAGTGACACATATTCCGCGTCCGACTCCCTCATGCCCTTTGCGGCTCCCTCTCCTCCCCCGCTGTGCCCGGGCCAGGCTCTGCCAGGTCCTGTGGACACAGTCCCTTTCGCCAAAGAACGGGAGCTCCGTCTTCCCCCGGGTGCAGAGCCTAAGCAGGCCTCTCGGCCCCTGGCAGCACAGGAGCCGGATCCGCCTGAGAGGAGGGGTGGGGAGGGCTCTGAGCACCCCTCAGGCCTGGGAGGGGGTGCAGGTGGTCCGAATGGACCAGAGGGCTCCCTCCTGCTGTCTGCCGGGGCGGGGCTGAGCTACTCCTGGACCCGGGACGCGCTGGAAGGAAAAGGAGGAGTGACAAGCAGGCCCTGAGAGTGTGTCCTTTGTGCCCACCTGAGGCTGAGGCCAGTCCGGGCCTCTCATGTCCGGAATGTGTGTTTCCCATGGCTGCTGGCCGCGCCGTGTGTGCGCTCAGCTTGAAAGACAATAAGCTGATGAACAAAACAGATCCAGAGACATGGGATCATGGGACAGACTGTGGAGCCTCAGAGGGAAGATGGGGGAGGGGGGGAAGAGACCAACCAAAGACCTTGTCCGCACACATGTATGACCCATGGCCCAGCCAGAGGGCGGTGAGGGGCTGGAGGGGGATAGATTAGAGGAGGTCAATGGGGGAGAGGGGACTATGTAATACTTTCACAATAAAGATTAAAGAAACAACAGGGGAAGAAAGGAAAGGAAAGGAAGAAAGGAAAGGAAAGGAAAGGAAAGGAAAGGAAAGGAAAGGAAAGGAAAGGAAAGGAAAGGAAAGGAAAGGAAAGGAAAGGAAAGGAAAGGAAAGGGAAAGGAAAGGAAAGGAAAGGGAAAAGGAAAGGGAAAGGAAAGGGAAGGGAAAGGGAAGGGAAAGGGAAGGGAAAGGGAAGGAAAAGGGAAGGGAAAGGAAAGGGAAAGGGAAGGGAAAGGGAAGGGAAAGGGAAGGGAAAGGGAAGGGAAAGGGAAGGGAAAGGGAAGGAAAGGGAAGGAAAGGAAAGGAAAGGAAAGGAAAGGAAAGGAAAGGAAGAAAGGAAAGGAAAGGAAAGGAAGAAAGGAAAGGAAAGGAAGAAAAGGAAGGAGGAAAGTCAATGGAAATGTAGGCAGATCTCAGAGTTCGGCCAGAGACTTCTTTGGGTTCCTCTGCTTCTGTGCAGTTTGGAAAACTGTTTTAAAGAACAAAGGAAACAAAACGCAGTGCCCCCGGGAGGAGAAGTGCTTTAATAAGAACGTTTATTGCCGCTGTCGGGCTCCTAGCACAGCTTAGGAAGTGAGAGGGGACCCCGGGGCTCCCCCTAGGGCGCGCCCACCAGGGCGGTGGTGGAGTAGGAGTAGGGGCTCAGCAGCGCCGCGATCGTGTAGCGCCGGGGGCCCGAGTCGTTGGCCGTGAACACCACCTGCGGAGAGAGCACCGTGTCCAGCGCCGCGGGCCAGGCCCCCGCCGGGACAGCCTGCACAGGCTTCCTGCCGGGCAGCGGGCGGAGGCCAGCCAACACGGCCAGCGCTCCAGCCGGCCTGTGAGCCCGCGGCTCACCGCTGCTTTCTGCGCCAGTGCCCGCTGGAAGTCCCGTGGCCCTGCCTGCCACGTGGTTCTGGAGGGAATCCCAGAATGCCTAGCAGCTGTCCCAGAATGCCTAGCGGCTGCCCCAGAATGCCTAGGATCTATCCCAGAACACCTAGGAGCTGACCCAGAATGCCTAGCAGCTCTCCCAGAATGCCTAGTGAGCTCTCCCAGAATGCTTAGCAGCTCTCCCAGAACTCCTAGCGGCTCTCTCAAAATGCCTAGGGGCTCTCCCAGAATGCCTAGCAGCTGTCCCAGAATGCCTAGCGAATCTCCCAGAATGCCCAAAGGCTCTCCCAGAATGCCCAGCGGCTCCTGCCGGTTCCGGTTCAGGGGGAGGATGCGGACTGGCGCCCCCTGGCGGAGGCCTGGAGGACGGCGCTGCCCCGCAGGCTGAGCCCTCGGCTCCCAGGTAAGCGCCGCTCTGATCCGGTGCCGCCCTGGCGGCCTCTCCCCATCCGGCCTCCGCTGAAAGCCCGTGTGTGTGTGAGTGTGAGTGTGTGTGAGTGTGAGTGTGAGTGTGTGTGTGTGAGTGTGAGTGTGTGTGTGAGTGTGTGAGTGTGTGTGAGTGTGTGTGTGTGAGTGTGTGTGTGTGTGTGTGTGTGAGTGTGAGTGTGAGTGTGTGTGTGTGAGTGTGTGTGAGTGTGTATGAGTGTGTGTGTGTGAGTGTGTGTGTGTGTGAGTGTGTGTGTGAGTGTGTGTGTGTGAGTGTGAGTGTGTGAGTGTGTGTGTGTGTGTGAGTGTGTGTGTGTGTGTGAGTGTGTGTGTGAGTGTGTGTGTGTGTGTGTGAGTGTGTGTGAGTGTGAGTGTGTGTGTGTGAGTGTGTGTGAGTGTGTGTGTGTGAGTGTGTGAGTGTGTGTGTGTGTGTGTGTGTGTGTGTGTGAGTGTGAGTGTGTGTGTGAGTGTGTGTGTGTGTGTGTGAGTGTGTGTGTGTGTGTGTGTGTGAGTGTGAGTGTGTGAGTGTGTGTGAGTGTGAGTGTGTGAGTGTGTGAGTGTGTGTGAGTGTGTGTGTGTGAGTGTGTGTGGTGAGTGTGAGTGTATGTGTATGTAAGTGTGTGTGAGTGTGAGTGTGTGTGTGTATGAGTGTGTGTGTGAGTGTCTGTGTATGTAAGTGTGTGTGGTTAGTGTGTGTGGTGTGAGTGTGTGTGTGTGAGTGTGCGGTGAGTGTGAGTGTGAGTGTGTGAGTGTGAGTGTGAGTGTGAGTGTGTGTGAGTGTGAGTGTGAGTGTGTGTGTGAGTGTGTGTGTGTGTGTGTATGTAAGTGTGTGTGGTTAGTGTGTGTGGTGTGAGTGTGTGTGTGTGAGTGTGCGGTGAGTGTGAGTGTGAGTGTGAGTGTGTGAGTGTGAGTGTGAGTGTGAGTGTGAGTGTGAGTGTCTGTGTATGTAAGTGTGAGTGTAAGTGTGAGTGTGTGTGTGTGAGTGTGTGTCTGTGTATGTAAGTGTGTGTGAGTGTGAGTGTGTGTGTGTATGAGTGTGTGTGTGAGTGTCTGTGTATGTAAGTATGTGTGGTTAGTGTGTGTGGTGTGAGTGTGTGTGTGTGAGTGTGCGGTGAGTGTGAGTGTGTGAGTGTGAGTGTGAGTGTGAGTGTGAGTGTGTGTGTGTGAGTGTGAGTGTGAGTGTGAGTGTGTGTGTGTGTGAGAGTGTGTGTGAGTGTGAGTGTGTGTGTGAGTGTGTGTGTGAGTGTCTGTGTATGTAAGTGTGAGTGTGAGTGTGAGTGTGTGTGTGTGAGTGTGTGTGTGGGTGTCTGTGTATGTAAGTGTGTGTGGTGAGTGTGTGTGTGTGAGTGTGTTTGTGTGAGTGTGTGGTGAGTGTGTGTGTGTGGTGAGTGTGTGTGTGTGTGTGAGTGTGAGTGTGAGTGTGTATGTAAGTGTGTGTGTGTGTGTGTGAGTGTGAGTGTGTGTCTGTGTATGTAAGTGTGTGTGGTGAGTGTGTGTGGTGTGAGTGTGTGTGTGTGTGAGTGTGTGTGAGTGTCTGTGTGATTGTGTGTGAGTGTAAGTGTGTGTGGTGAGTGTGTGTGTGTGTGAGTGTGAGTGTGTGTGTGAGTGTGTGTGTGTGAGTGTGTGTCTGTGTATGTAAGTGTGTGTGGTGAGTGTGTGTGGTGTGAGTGTGAGTGTGTGAGTGTGAGTGTGAGTGTGTGTGAGTGTGAGTGTGTGTGTGTGTCTGTGTATGTAAGTGTGAGTGTGTGTGGTGAGTGTGTGTGGTGTGAGTGTGAGTGTGAGTGTGTGTGTGTGAGTGTGTGTCTGTGTATGTAAGTGTGTGTGGTGTGAGTGTGAGTGTGTGAGTGTGAGTGTGAGTGTGTGTGAGTGTGAGTGTGTGTGTGTGTCTGTGTATGTAAGTATGAGTCTGTGTGGTGAGTGTGTGTGGTGTGAGTGTGAGTGTGTGAGGCACAGGCCCGCCGGAGGACAGGCCGCGGGAAGGTGCCCGGAGCCCGGGGCGCCGGCTGGGCCTAAGGGCCGGTGCCCGCCGGGCTGGCCTGCGCTCCCCGGCGTCGGTCTGTGCGGGGTTCGGGCCGGCGGCGGTGGGAGGGCTGGGGTTGGATTTAGTCGTTTGTGTGCCGCCCTGGCTGAGCCTAGGACGCGTCCTGGAAATGTTCATCTTGTTCCAAACGGAGACCGACGGCCTCGATGACGTGGGGACGGGGGAGAAGAGACCTGACTGAGGCACATCAAGACCGAAACCAGCCGGAACCCGTGTGGCCCAGTGGATAGAGCGTCGGCTTGGGGACTGAAGGGTCCTGGGTTCGATTCCGGTCAAGGGCATGTACCTTGGTTGCGGGCATATCCCCAGTGCGGGGTGTGCAGGAGGCAGCTGATTGATGACTCTCTCTCATCGATATTTCTGACTCTCTATCCCTCTCCCTTCCTCTCTGTGAAAAATCAATGAAATATATTAAAAAACAAAACAAAACAAAAAACAAACCGAAATCAGCATCGGGAGAGGGGGTGAGAGCCCCTGAAGACTGAGGAGGAAGGCAGTCCTGAGGCCCTGTTTCTGGAATCAAATTAGAAAGACTTCTCTTTTTTTGTTTTGTTTTGTTGGGGGGCGGGGGAAGCTGTTTGCACATCAACTTTTATTTTTTATTAAAAAAACACACCAGAAAAAACAAACAACCCCCCCCCACACACACACCACATTTGTTGGAAGTATTGCAGATGCCTCCCCCATGGCTCCCCCATTGCTCCCTCCTAGCCCACATCTTGGCTCCCCACCCCATCCCAGACAGGAAAGCATCTTCTCTCTCCGTGACATTGGCCTCCATTCCCATTCCCATTTAATTCTTCCTAAAAGTTATAAACAAAGGGCATAACCTGTGTTCCAAATTCCATGGAGCCAAGAGGACAGATAGCTCCGAAGGAGATTCCTGACGTTCCCGCCTAAGAAGCCGCTGGGGCTGGCCACGGAGAGGGCGCGGCGCTGAGGGACAGCGGTGTCCCCGTGGGAAGGAACTCCCAAGGCTCATGCGTGACTGCTGGCTCTCTCCCCTCCCCCAGACCCATTCAGGATCCAAGAGGCTCATGGTCCTGCCTAACGCATTCCAAGGGCAGAGATGTGTTTTCTCATTTGCCTCTCTGGCACCTAGCAGAGTGCTCAACACATAGCTTCTCATCGCTAAGTGTTTGTTGAATGAAGACTAAAAGGGTGAAGCCTGGTCTGATGACTAGAAGCATGAGTAGCACGGAACCATGGGACCATCAGGCTGAGATCCAGGGCGGACAGGACCGCAGGGAGGCGGGTCCGTGCTCCAGGGCAGGGCCCGGGACTAGGGACACGCGTCTGTAATGGGCACCGTCTAACCGGCACCTGAAGGGACCAGCCTCCGGGGCTTGCTGCCTGGCTGAGGAGTAGCCAGAGACGGGGCTTCTTGGCAGGTGGGGTTGTCTTCCTCGCTTGTGGGCCCCGGAGTCAAACAGCCCCTCGTGTCCCTGGCAGCACTGTCTGCTGAAAGAACGCTGTATGTCTTTGGAAAGCCTCATCCATGACTAAGCCAGAGAGAATGGTTCCCTCTCATGCCCGGCTAATTTTGGTGCGTTCGTTGATCTTTAACTCTGAGCACCATGTGTGGATGCTATTTCCACGGCCGCCATCTGTTTTAAATGACTTAAGGAATGATAGACAAGGGGGAGGCAGAGAGAGGGGCCGGCCCATGTGTAACTCTGAGGTTCCTAGTGCCTCATAAGTAGAGGAATAGGGTGCGTACCAGGCGTTACAAATGCGATATTATTATTAATTATTATTTTTATTATTAGCTTGTCTTCTCCCAGGAAGAAAGCTGAGGCACACCTGAGTCTAATTCAGCGGGGGCCCTGCTGGTAAATATTACTGTTTCTCCCCTTACCAGCCCTGTGACTTTTGACAAGTTAATTAACTTCCCTGGGCCTTGTTTTCTTCATCTGTACAATGGGCACAACAATGGGACTGACTCCAGTGGGTGGTTGATGAAGATTAAATAGGTTAAGTACAGAAAAGATAGCAGCGTCTGGCCTGTGATAGATGCTTGATAAATGTTTTCTGTTGTGTTGCCATTATTATTTTGACTTTGTTATCTCTATGTGCATTGCCCTCAAACACTTATTCAAACCTCTGAGTTCCAGATGTGTTTTGGAGTGAAGAGTGCTCCAGACTTTAGAGGAGTAAAATGATACATCTGTCTTTTGTTACATGACAGCCAGAGTGGCCTGGAGCTCGGCCTAATCCTTCAACATATTAGTATTTCTTCAGCAAACAAACAAGTATTCCTGTCCGGTAGAATGAGTGAAGACTATAAAGGGCAGTGCGTGAGTTCAGGTCATGTCACTAAGTGAGTTTTCACCTAACTCAGAGAGAAAGTTGGCTTTTCAGCGCTTGTGGATTTCTGACTGTAGAAACGAGAAAGGGAACTGGAAATGTCACTGCCATTTCCATGGTCTGCATTCCAGGGTCTTACAGGGCAGAATGTGCATGTGCAGGGTTAGCAACCACCACCTCCAGAGCATCTGTGCACTCACCTCTGCATATTCGTGGAACGGGGAGATGCCCAGCTCCTTCCAGTAGGCTTTGGTGTCTAACTCCACTCTGTACACCCCTTCCACGAACTTCTCCGCGGTGGTGAGCCCATGGAGCTCCCCAAATTCACTGGTTTTCCTGAAAGGGCAAAGGTCAGGCTAAGCTAGGCTTTAGGGGCAAGGACACCACACACACATACACGCACACACTCACTCATACACACACACATACACGCACACACTCATACACTTTCTCTCTCACACACACGCACACACTCACTCACACACACACACACACTCATACACACACACACGCACACATTCACTCATACACACACACACTCATACACACACATACACGCACACACTCACTCATACATACACACTCATACACTTTCTCTCTCTCACACACACACATACACACACTCACTCACTCATACACACACACACTCACTCATACACACACACTCATACACTTTCTCTCACACACATACATGCACACACTCCTCATACACACACACACACACTCATACACACACACATACACGCACACACTCACTCATACACACTCATACACTTTCTCAATCACACACATACACGCACGCACACACTCATACACATACACACTCATACACTTTCTCTCTCACACACACACATACACACTCACTCACTCATACACACACACACACACACACACACGCATACACTTTCTTTCTCTCACATACACGCACACACTCACACACACACACTCATACACTTTCTCTCTCACACACACACACACACACACACACACACACACTCACACATACACGCTCACACACTCAGGAGCAGTCTTTGTATGTGTATATCTATTTTCTCAACCAGGCAGGATAGAGAAAACTCGACTGTCTGAAATTCACTGACAGGAAATTGGTCAGAAATGTTTCTGAAAGCTCATCATAGGTGCTTTCCTCTCAGGAGAACAAGGCAGAAGTATAGTGTTTCCCCTGAAGAAGAGTCGTCACCCTTCAGGGTTGGTGCTAAGTCTCTCTGACTCCTGTTCCCCATGACACTAGGGTCTCGTGATGTGGGAGTCTTTGGAGGTGGTATCATTTGTACATGTAGTTGAACTCCAAAATACAATGAGAAACCTGTATCTGACTCTCCCATCATTTAAATGTTCAATCTCTTTGGTAACTCTTGGTCAATAACAAATACTAGGCAACTCCTTTTAACTTTTAAAAAAAACGGGCAACTTCTATTTCCCTATAAGTTCCAGTTCAGTAGCTGTTGTTGAAATCGCTGTCCATCATTCCGCGAGACTAAGACAGATAAATTGGAAGGTATCTTTATTGCCTGTGACCTTTGCCCTCCACCATTCTTTTTTTCCAGGAAGTAAATCTTTCAATATCCTTTTTTTTTTTGTCTTGTCATAAGAAAAAAGATTCACTTGGATATCTGAATATCCTTTCTATCTCTTGCTTAGAATGCTCTTAACAGCTTTCCACATCATGCTTGGCATTCTTTATAAAAGCAAATGAATTAAGAAATAAAAACTCCATTGGAACCACACCAATGAGAATGGCCTTGCCAGTGATGGGTGAGACTCCTAATGTGGTCCTTGGATTCCGTTAAGGCCCACAGAAACTGGCTCCCTGGAGACAAGCACTTAGCAGGATCACTTCCTTCGGAGGCTCCTTTCTTTCAATTAGTTGATGCAAGTTCACGAATATGCACTTAAAAAAAGGCTTGCCAGCCAGCGGAGGGGAAAACGCCCTAACCGTTGTGAAGCGGTCGACGAAGGTCATCCTGCCGCTGGCCTGTGGCCGGGCTTTGCTGATGCGTCTTCCTCTCCTGCCCGTTCTCCCCGAGCCGCCGGCCCCGGCCGAGAGGAGCAGGCGCTCCACAAGCACCGCTGGCGAAGGCCCCGGGTTCCGGGTGATCCGGGGAGGCCTGGTCACCCTGGCCCCCGGCCCCTTTCTTCATTAATAAACAAAGAATTGTATGTCTTCCCTGCTATTCCAGGACAAGGACTCGGCTGGAGGGTTATGTCCGGTCACCAAGGAAAGCCCTGAAGTTCCATGAGCACTTTCGTACGTGTGTGTGTGTGTGTGTGTGTGTGTGTGTGTGTGTGTGTGTTTTCCTGGCACAGAGTCCCTCGTTTTCATCACCTTTTTAAAACGATCTGTGACCCTAAGGGGACTGAGCTACTGCAGCGTGGAGCAGGTGGCAGGCTCCTCCCCAACGCCAGCCCCAAGTGCTGCTCAGGCTCCTGCTCACTCCCAGTGCGCGCAGCCAGGGAGGCCTCCTTCTCAGGCCCCTGGGCCTCTGCCCGAATTGTCACTCTATGTGTAGATTCTTTAGCGAATGACGTGAGCCCCCCTCTCCAGCACGTGGCAGGCGAACGGAAGATAAACCAAAGCCCCACCCACGGCTGGCGTGGGCAGCTCACCCGTCGGCGAAGGGCTCCCAGGCCCCGTCGGCAGTCTTCTTGAACACCTTCACGGCCACGTTGACAGCAGGGCTGCCTCGGACAGCATCCAGGACCTTGACCATCAGGGGACACTTGGACTCGCCGGTGCCCTGGGCATGGAGGGGACAAGTGAGAAGTCAGCAGAACTGGCAGGAATGAGGGGGTCTGTCCCTCCTGGGACCGTGTCTGCCGCAGACACGCTGCAGGTAGCTGGGGGTTTTTGCATTTTAGGGGCGCAGGCCCTTGAGCACAGGTGCTTTGTTAAGCTTTGCCATTTGAGGCGGATTACTAGAAAGATGTCCTGTGCCATCGAGCCAAGTCGTTTTCCATGAGAGCATGTTAGCTATGTAACATGTTACATGTCAGCCAGTGGCTGCTGCAGGAAAGCCCTCTGACCAGTTGCAGATTCAGTCCGGCTGCCTCACCATTGGGTAGGATTAGCTCATTCTCCTACGGACTTAAGAACTACACATCTGACTAGAACGCTGTCTCCAAGCCTTTCACAGATTAACCAATAAATACTACATTTAGTCTAGCTAAAGGGAAAACACTTTATAAGAGATGCGTTTCTAAAAATCCAATAGTAACAGCTTCATGAATACCCTGTCTTTCTTTCTGCCATCTACCTGGGGAAACTGAGGCACCAGGCATGGCAACCCCAGTGCACCAGGGCCGTAGAGGAGAGCGCCCAGAACCAAGCCCCAGCCCGTGAGCTCTGCAGGGCTCCATCGCTTTCGAAGTTGGAATCAATAATGTTTAAAAATAGACCCCGGTGCCCTGGCCCCAGGAACAGAAGCCGGATGGCAAAGCCGGAGGCAGTGCCTCTTCATCCTGCTCACAGGGGGATGCACGCAGGACTCGGACACTCACCGCAGGCCCGGCCTCCGCCGCAAACGCCAGTCCCGCCAGGCAGAGGAGCAGGAGACGGAGGGCAGCCATCCCGGCAAGACAAGAGCCACGGGCCTCTGGCCGGTCCCGACGAGCCTGCGGCTTTTATACCCACTCCCCCAGGCCAGGCCCCCCGTCCCTGCCACCTGACCCCAAAGCTGCTGACTCCGATTATTGACTTAGTCAACAAAGGGAGAATTAGTAACCCACTCAAATATGAACCTTGTCTGGAGAGATTAGAGCGTCGGAACTTAACTATGAAATATTCTTAACGGCTCATCTGACCAGCTGGGCGCCCAAAGCCAAACCTGCCAGAACAGCACACACGCATTCTGCGCCCTCCGTGGCGGGATGAAGTGACATTCTTGGGATTTTCCCCTCCTTTACCTATTTCTATGCGTGTTTTCCGTTTTCTGCACATTTTATCTTTGGTTTGAGATGGTAGATGCAAGCTGTAAGAGTTGCTTTCACACCGAATGACACTTGCTGCACAGGCTTAGCTTGTGCATTAGGAGACATCACAGCACTTGGTATGTGCCCACGAGTCAGCAAGAAAACGTCCTTGGCAGCGCTTACATTTTAAAAAGTCTATGTTTTAGCTAACTTAAGTTTTTTGGAAGTTCAGTCAGGAATTTCTCCACAGTCTTGTTCTTCCCAGACAAGGCTCACGCCAGCCCAAGGGATAATGCCACCTCCGCTCGGGCAGAGGCCCGCAGTGAAGAGACCACACGGCCTCACTGCTCTCCCGCATCGCCCGCGCGTGAACCCGGCTGCCCAGTCGGCTCCTGTTGGCGTGCAAAGTCCAGGCAGGAAGGACAGGCGGCCGTGGAAGTGGAGGCTCAGCTGGCAGGCGCTCTGCCTCTCCGTCAAGTGAAAAGTCCAAGAAGTGGAAGACTTTATGGTGTAACCTCAAGTGCCTCCCTCCCATTTCCGAGGCAGGATTGCCAGCAGCATCGTCGTGCTCAGCTCTTTTTCCCTGTCCCTGCACGTCCCGTTTCTCTACGTTCTTGCCTGGCCTCTTGGGAATTTGTCTTTGTAGCTGCTGATCTTATAGCCATGGAAGCAGTGAACGACCGTTTATTTGCTTTTACCGAATAGACATTCTCACTCCTTGAAGTGGTTGCACCAATTTCCATTCCCACCAACTGCACAAGGGCTCCCTTCCCCTACATCCTCGCCAACACTTACTCCTTCTCCACAGTGGCCATTTTAACAAGTGTGAGGAGGTGATAGTTCATTGTGGTTATTCATCATTTATGGCGTTTAACCTAAATATGGGAACTTTTGCCTCTCATCATGTTAGTTCCACCTCCCCTCGCCATCCTACTGACACCGGTAACAGTTGATTCTGTGATTGACTGCAAGTAGCAAGCCTCCCAAGCCTCATGCTCTTGGCTGCTGTGATTTGCTTGCCCTTGAACTGTCATTGATCTGGAAATCGTGAATAAAATTTGAATTTGAACAAGAGAAGAAGGTGGAGGGAATTCAGAGTACAAATGGCAATTCAGAGTACAGTGGCATACCAGATCTGATTGTTGAATCATTGATAAACTTAGATATTATTTTTAACATAAGAAGAAGAGGAGCCCTGGACCGTTTTCAGGAGAGAGAAGGGAAGGCTGAGAGGAGGAAGGAAAAAGAGGAGAGTGGGCACGCATTCTTGGTCAGAGGACTGTTTGGCGGAACAAACGGCAATCACAAGTACAAGGGAAGCCCAGCGTGCCCCAGCGAGGAGTTTGTGAGGATGGGAATGTGGACAGCGAAGACTCCCAGAGATAAAGGCTCTGCCTTCCTTGTGTTTGAGTGTGTAGATGCTACATAAGATCCACCAGTTAAGGTCAAGGGTCACCACATTTCTGGAATCCTGAGGGGTTGCTGTAGAGACTGTTTTGGAGTGAATAGCAGCAACAGCACGGCCCCAGTGCCAGAAAGCAAAGGAGGCTCAGGAAGATATACATGCAATGAAGTTATGTCCTTTCTTAGCCACGTGCGGTTTTCTCTACGTTTTTACTGTAACCTAGAAGATCGGTTGAAATAAAATAGACTGATTTGATGATGAGGATCCTCCTCCTACTCAAGACTATGAAGTGGTTAATGGATAATTCAGACCTGTGCCTAGTTTGAGGTTCTTCTGCCCTCTCCCTTATAATGGATAGGCTTATTTATTAACATTTTAAAATATAGATACACTCCCTCCCCTTCATTTATTTCCTGAGGGTACCTGTCAGCTGCTGGCCAGTGATCTGTCCACCTTGAAATGCCCTCGGATGTGATTTTGAGTGAGCTGATTATCCAGAGTGGAGAGTTAGCTGGTCAAGTGCTTGAACTGGTCCCGGCGGGGGTGGGGATGGGGTCACAGAATTTGGGGGCTTAGACCTTTGCAGGTGAAAGAATTTAATTTTGTCAGCTCCAGAGTTAATAAGCCCTGGGGGTTTGATTAATAGTAAGCAAATCATAAAAGACTCATTTTAAAACTATAATACCAATTTAATTAATAGTCTTATGATTGCTGAGTAAGCAAGAAATGAGAGCAAAGGGATTTGGCGAACTTGCTGAATTTTCACTTCACCATAAAGTATGTTTTTCCTGTGCGTGGAGTGCATCTTTCTGCAGGGATTGCGGAATCAACACTAAACACTATTTCCTTTGTCTCCCCTTCTTTCATGTTCTATTTGGACAACCATCCAAGTAAAGCAAACATAATCTAGAATATGTTAATTAGATTGCATTGTATTTTTCACTAATTGTCATTTTAGTTCCAAGGTTAAATCTTAGCGGCCAACTAGTTGGGAGCAACAGTTGGGACCTGCCTCGTGTAAGACCTGCACAGCTTTCACTCTGCCTGCTGAGTATCTGGGGACTTTGCAATCAGGAGCAGCCACCCAGCCCCACCCCAGCTTAATAGCCATCCTGTCTCTACCTGGGGGACTTCAGTGTGCCTTATATCAGTAGCTCACATGATTCGAAGTTAAGACATCTATCTGTTCATTGGTCTGATTTTGTGTCTGTCTCAGTCGTCACAGATGTGCTAAGGATTTTTCTCTAGAATTGGCCGGTAGATGAAATTAGAGTTTTGGCTTCTAGAGTCGCACAAAGCTCATCCCCCACTTGTGAGGGGGAGAAATGCAAACAGAAGAGGAAATGGAAGCCTCTTTTATCCAGTTGGCAGGTTTTCTGGGGTTTCCCTCTGTCCCCTGCAGCCCTCATGCAACTTGAGTGGCAGTGGGTCTGAGGTTGCAGGTCCCTTGGGCGGCCATGCTGTGAAGGATAAGCAGGGACCAGGGGATGGCCTGGTGGAAGGTGATGTTGGACAGACGATGAGAGAGTAATGGAGACACGGAAGCAGGTTAGTAGGGGTAAGAGGCATTGTGGAGCCTGTGTTCTGATGGGAACTGGGTCCTGGAGGGTTCCAGATGCCTTGCTTTCCCCACACCCCCTCTCCCCACCCCCCTGAACAGATGAGAAAGATGAGATACATAGTGGTATCAGGGGAAATAGAAGAAGCTGCTCCATTGGAGGTGATGAGCCTAGGGAATCCACTTTCCCAAGCCCCACCTGGCAGCTGCAAGGGCAGAGGGGCCACCCTACATATCTTATGTATCCTGTTTGTTACTCATGGCCTGGGAATTTCAGCCATCTCACCTGAGGCCTAGCTAAAAGTGTTTGGTTATATTTGTTGTTGCTACTGTCTATTTTATTGGGCCCTTGGTACCTCTCCAGGGGAGGATGAGAGAGCTGCTCTGGGCACTAAGCCCTCAGGGCGGGATAATCTGTTTTGACAATGTGCGAAAACCAGAGTGAGCAGAGGTGGGAGGGTACTGAGCTTGGCCTGAGAGCGGGAGTAGAGCAGTGTCTACTGCGTGGATTATGTAAGCTCACGAAGATGAGCCAAACACAGTGTGAGGTTGAATGCTCTCCTGAGAAGCGTGAGTTTTCCCATAACAAGGACACAGACCTTTCTGGTAATTTATGGCTATGACTCATGGAGTCTCCGCTTCCTGAGGTGGGTAAACCCATTGCCATTAGGGTGTCCATGTGAAAGCTCACTGGCCATCAGTGAGGTGTATGGGAGGGGGGGGGTTCATAGTGGGTTTGAGATGGGAATTCATGGCCTTAGAAGTCCGTTTTAATGACAAGCCTACGTAAAGGAATTAGAGTTCTGAGTGATGGAGTGACCGAATGAAAAGGTATACACTGGAGGAGGGAAACCCACAGGCTTAGAGACTACTTAGAAAGCTAGTGTTGTTGTCTAGTCAGTAGGGTAAAGGTTACCTGTGTTGTCTGTCCTCCTGTAGTTATTGCAGATCTTTGAGTCTGTATGCACACATGTATTTATTAACCTAGGATCCATAAACTGTTCGTGTCTATGAGTAAAATTCAGAAAACGTGATATTGGCTGGAAAAATTGCAACTTTATGTAAATTTCTGATTGAAATTTAGCATTTCCTTAAATCACAAATGTAGTTATTAACAGTACCTATGACTTTGCCACCGATAGAAGTCAGAGATATTTTCATATACATCTTATTGATGAATATATTCTTTATGCTCATCACTACTTTGAAGTTATGGTAGCTATTAGATCCATTGCTAGATTTTGTAATTAACAAGGATGCACACATATTACTGTACTGTAATTTAAAAAATGTTTTAATAGTTGTCATTTCAATGCAATTGATTTTCTTTGTAATCTTATATATTTAATTTTGTGCACAGTGAAGTTAAGAAGCTGGGCAAAGTGACAGAATAGACCCTAGGCCAGCATGGATTGGCTGCAGTCTAATGGAATAAAGAAAGAAAATAGTAGTCATTCCTGAGATTGGTTAGCAGTGGACGGAATTAAAAAGGAAGTTGTAGTGTTGGCTATTCGGATTGAAGATTTACAGTCCTATGGACAGGGCTTTCCTTGGAGTAGGGAAGAGTGCTGCAAAGATTTCTCGTGGAGACAGAGAGCATACGGGTCACTCTGTCCCAGGTGACTGCTGGATTTCTGGTGGAATTCATCACTACACTGAAATTATTATTTATACTTCGGTGTTTGTCCCCTAGGC